AAATCCACAATCCACAATCGATTCATTGAGAGAATTAAATTCTGATCTCGTTCACCAGATTGCTGAACTTAGGAAGGAGAATGCCTATATAAAGGCCGAAAATATAAAATTAAAACAAGATAAGGAAGAAATTGAGATCAGATTTGTAAAGTTAGAACAGATCGCAAAAGAAAATGCCGAGAATGCAAAGTTGAGAGATAATGAGCTTAATGACAGAATCGTGGAACTAGAACAGTCGGCGAAAGAAAGTGAAAATCGATTTGTGAAATTGGAACAGAAGCAAACCCAGGTTATCACTAATGAACAGGAAGTATCCCCCGCAAAAAATATTTCACCACCTATCGAAGATCAGTCCGATAAAGATAATGGTATTACTCTCGATCCCATGTCCGAACATAACTCGACCCAGACCCAAAGGAGCGAATCTAAATCTCTAACTGATCCTGAGTCGTCTATCACTTCTTTGCCACAAGATATTATTGATGCCAATTCAGCTGAGACTCTATATTTTGTAGAAAGGAAATTTAAAGAATGTGTTAGTGAAGAGGTAATGGAGAGAATTAGGGAAAAGAAACTTCGGGATCAAAACTTATCTTCGGATAATAGTTCATCGGATCAATCTAATTTATCGTGTGATGTATTGCGAGAACAGAAAAATAACCAATCAAAATCTCATAATGCATTTTCTGGCTCGCTCCAAAATCCCATCTCACAGAGTAAGGATGACCTTGCGTCCAAATTAGATCAATCAAAGATAAAGTCACCTTGTCCCGAGCCCAAATTATCTACTGATCAAGCACAAAATGATATACCGTCCCAAATAGCAGAAGCTAGTACATTAGTGGTAAAAATTCCTTATAATCAGAAAGTAGAACAAGGTTTATTACATGAGTTATTTGAATTTATTAGGGGCACCGATTCCATGTCCTTACAAAATCTAAAGAAAACTCCATTGAATTCTATCACCATTAAACAAATTTCGGACGTTCCTGTTGATATAGATTTAACTCCAGGTTCTGTACCTCATTTAGCTCATTTATTTGGCAAGGCCGAGAAAACTGGACGAAAAGAAAAATTGAGATGGTATTATTATAGTGAAGGATATTAAAAAAAAGTTTCGAATCTTAGTTCAGAAAAAAATATTAGTGATCAAATGGCGAGAACGCAAATCTATAATGAAATGATGCAGTATCTACCTGGAATCAAGAGAGAGTATTTGCGTAAGATGACTCAAAAGGCTAGAACTATCTATGCATTATTCAATGGGATAGGAAAAGATAAAATTGAATACATTACAAACAGTGTTGATGCTATTTCTAGTTTAACCGGCACACAAATTCAAAATATTATAAATTTTTATACTAAAGAATTAGACGCGAAAGTATCATCGTTTGAATCTCAAAAATTGATCGGCGTGAAGAATTCTTCACGCGCACATGGCCAACCGAAATCTGATATAAAAACTAAAGTATGCGAAGAAACTTTACCAGAAACTGAG